GTATTTGGTTATGTTTTGCGACTGGAATATTGCGACTATTTCTTTTGTATAAAACCGTTTTACATATAATAAATTGTGGTTCTGTATGCATATAATAGTAGCTTTTACTTTTAAATAAATTCATAATAAATTTTGAGAATAAATTTATTGTACTTTTTATTCAATCTATAATTTTAATTATAACCTAATCATAACCTAAAATATCCCGAAAATATTATCATAAAATGAGCTCATAAGTTGCAATAAATACACACATATCTTGTTATCATATTCTGAACTTCATATAACATACAACTTGCAATATCAACTTGATCATCATGTGTGTATATATTATGTCCTTATTTTGTTGCATTTTATGGATGTCATAACATGATTGCGTTCTGAGTAGCATATGAGCCCGCATCTGTGTCTATTCTTGTCATCATGTTTGCGAGATACATGAGTGCAATATGAGCTCATTATGCATATTTTTGTCTATCTGGGTTATTATACAGTTCGAAAGTAGTGATTTATTCATACATCTCAGTTACAAGTTTTCTTAAAGAACTAGTCGGATTTTTAACTAGCCGTTTCGTGCCGTTTGTCGTCGAGAAAACTACTCGGAGAACTTTCAGTTTTATCAGAAGTGGGATAACGGGTTCATTTGACCCGCGTCGTGTCGGAAAAAGTCGAGTCGGAAAAACTTTGTCGTATCGTGCCGAAAGGATAACGAGCTCATTTGACCCGCGTCGTGTCGGAAAAAAAAAATAAAGTCGGAGAAACTTTGTCGTGTCGTGCCGAAAGGAGTACGGGCTCATAAAAACCCGCGTCGTGTCGAAAAGAAGAGTCGAAAAAACGTTGTCGTGTTGTGTCGAGATTTAAAAACGGGCTTCACAAGTCCGCATCGAATCGGTAAAAAACTTTGTCGTGTCGAGTGAGTGACGAAAAGGAGCATGCCGAAGACAAGGTCAAAAATGGAGCAAGCCGATCTGGAGAAGGCCACATTGGAGCAGCTCCAAAATTACGCGAAGCACAACCAGCTTCCGCTGTCGGAGGACCGAGAGGTACTCATTAAATTGATTTTGGCTCATCTGGAGAAATCCAGGAGCGCGGATACACCGGCCGAACCGCACGGTGCGTTCGGAGAAGGGACGGTGCCGTCGGCCGCCACGCGGTCAACAGTTGCAGAACCGCTGACTGGGTGCTCCGGCAAACAATAACGGAGATAACGACGTCGATAATGCAGCAACAGCAGAATATGCTACGTCAGCAGCAGGAGCTGCAGCAGCAACAATAGCAATTTATGTTGCAAATGATGCAACAAATGCAGGCAGCGAGACCCGCTGCACCTGTAAGTCGAGCCGAGGAGCCAGCGGCTCCAATAAACAATTTGGAAAGTTCAAACAGGACGAATTCTGCGGGGTCGTCCTTGAATTCCGCGCATGCTCAACCGATGCAATTGGTGAGTATCGGGAGCGGGCTGCCAGCAGGAAACGCAATTTCCTGGCTTGCCTCGCAAATCCCGGAGTTCGGAGGATCCGAAGAAGAGTGTGTGTCGGTGCGGGTGCGTCGGGTAGACAGGGTGGCGCAAATACACAGTGCAACGGACGGTGTGACCTTGCTTGCCGCGTCGAGCAAATTGGTCAAGTTCGCGCGCCAATGGTACGACATACAGTCGGGACCGGAAATCGAGTCGTGGCAAGGCCTGCGCCTTGAACTATTGAAAATTTTCGAACGAAAAGTGCCGTTTTATAAAGCGATACAGCGGGTCGAGGCGCGTAAATGGAACGCGCAAAAAGAAACTTTCGATCAGTATACGATCGTTAAACTTGCGCTAATTAATAAATTGAACTTGCCGGTAAAAGACGCGATCCATCAAATAATTGGTGGCATCACGCAAAGCTCAATGAGAGCTACCGCGCTGTCGGTTGCAGACGAATCGTTGGACAGTTTTCTCGCGAAAATGAGAATGATTACGGAAGGCAGTACCGAGTGCGAGAAGAAAACAGTGTCGAATGTGCCGGTAAAAAGTAAAGACAGTGCGTGCCAAAATTGTGGTCGAAAGGGCCACTCACACTTGCAATGCAGAAGTGACGTCGTTTGCTTCTACTGCAAGGTGAAGGGCCATCGCCAGTTCGATTGTCCCGCGCTGAAGGGTCGAGCGGGCGGGAAATCGACGTTGCCGAACCAGTCGTCGGCGGCGCGGACCGTAGCAGCTGTTGCAGAGGCCGCCTCATCCGAAGTTGATGCTGATTCCGTCGTCGCTGCGGTCATGGAGGCAGGGGGCGCCAGGAGAGGACTCAGCAAGCCGTTTGCGATTGTTACAAGTATCTGTAAACAATTAAGCGAATTACGAGCGTTAGTAGATTCCGGTAGCCCGGTTTCATTTATACGAGAAGAAATATATAAAGTCTTTGTTGAGCCGTTCCCGCATAAATTAATACCGTCGGATAAACGGTTTTATAATTTTAGTGGCGCACCGTTAACGATAATCGGAGTCGTGCCGGTCGAATTAACTATAAAAGAATTAAACGAACTATCACTAAGGGTAGATTTATTTGTTATAAAAGAAACATTCGAGTGCGATTTAATTTTAGGAAGAGATTTTATTAGCTTACATAAAATTTCCTTATCCTATGATCTTGCCGAGTCGGAGGATAAACAAATCAACTACAAAGTTAACTTGTTTCAACAGTTACCGCTTTGCGCTGTCGAGAACCCGCCGGAAAGCTTAGAACAAATTGTAGACGATAATAAAATCGATTTTGACGCGAACGTTAAAAAACAATTGAAAGAAATCATTTTAAAAATTGAAAATGATAATGTCGTGCCGATTGAGGACGATTACAAGGTGCAAGTACACCTGAGAGATTCTTCGATATTCGCGTACTCACCGAGACGATTCGCATATGCGGAACGCATCAAGATCCGCGAGATCACGGACGACTTGATGCGCAGAGGAATCATACAGCCAAGTATCTCGCCCTATTGCGCACGCGTGATACCTGTTAGGAAGAAAGACGGACAAATTAGACTATGCGTAGATCTCAGACCGTTAAATAGCCGGATAATTAAACAGAAATATCCGTTTCCGGTAATAGAAGATTGTCTTTCGCGATTGTCGGATAAAGCAGTTTTTTCTTTATTGGACCTCAAAGACGGGTTCCACCAGATTAAAGTTCACGAAAATTTGATGCAGTATTTTTCTTTCGTGACCCCCGACGGACAGTATGAATACACACGCTTACCGTTTGGATACTCGGAAGCGCCGGCAGAGTTTCAGAAACGGGTAATCCAAATCTTGAACCCGTTGATACGCGCCGGGAAAGTATTGGTGTATATCGATGACATACTGGTCCCGACGGCAACTGTCAAGGAAAATTTAACATTATTAGAAGAGGTTTTGAGCATTTTTAAGTCGTACAATTTCAAATTAAATTATAGAAAATGTCGATTCCTGAAAAAGGAAATAGAATTTCTCGGATATATGTTATCGAGTAGCAGTATTACGTTAAGTCCTAGACACGTAGAGTCGGTTAGAAATTATAAACCACCTGCCAATGCACACGAGGTGCAACGGTTTTTAGGTTTAGCCAGTTACTTTCGTAAATTCATTAAAGACTTCGCAATCAAAGCGAAACCGATACAAGATCTTTTGAAAAAAGATACGGAATTTAGATTCGATAGTCGATGTATTGAGGCATTTGAGTTATTGAAGAAAGAGCTCACCTCAGCCCTGGTGTTAGCGTTGTACGATCCGGCTGCAGAAACGGAGCTGCATACAGATGCGAGCAGCTTAGGCCTCGGTGCGATCCTACTGCAACGGCAGAAGCACGGATCTTGGTGCCTCGTGGCTTACTTCAGTAAGACCACTAACGTGGCGGAGCAGCGCTATCACAGCTTCGAGCTAGAGATGTTAGCCATTGTTAGAGCAGTGGAGAGATTTAATTTATATTTATATGGATTGCAATTCACAATAGTGACGGATTGCAGCGCGTTAGTGTATGCCGTTAATAAGGCAAATCTTAACCCACGTATAGCAAGATGGACACTTACCCTTCAGAATTATTATTTTCGAATGGTCCATCGGCCAGGAAAGAAAATGGCACACGTGGATGCCTTGAGTCGTTGCGTCGGATTTGTAAATAAGCGACCAATCGAACGCGAGTTAGAGTTGAGGCAGCTCACAGATCCTAGAATTAAAGAAATTAGCGATAACTTGGAGATTAGAGACAGCGAAAAATTTATTATGTTTAACGGATTAGTATATAAGAAAGCAGAAAATAATAATTGTAAGTTTGTCGTACCTGCTTCAATGGAGACGAGTCTACACTGCTGGACAAAAATATAAGACACTTCGCATTTATCTATTCTTTTGCAAAAATCTATGCAAGTGTATATTTCATGCACGCTATGTGTAACTGACCATTTTCTGAATAGATACACAGAATCTCATACTCGGCAGAAATACAATACAGAAGTCAGGGAAAAAAATGTAAACAAAGGCTGACGGTGGTTGGACAGAATTATAAGATACTTGATTTGTTTGACATTCTTACATCTCCTATCAGTAGCTATTCGACTTCTAGTGGATATAGAAATATAAATCAGCAGTATTTTTGATATATTAGTGCACGTATTCAGGATAGTAACAAATAATGCCTCGTGGGACCAAATTAAATCAAAGTGAAGTCGACCGAATCATGCTCTTGCACTCAGAAAACTATAACATCACGAAAATTGCGAAATTATTGAACAGAAGTTGGTGTGTTATTTATAATGTCCTTAAAGATCCAGAAACCTATGGGAAAACTAAGAGGAGTGGAAGACCCCGTGCTGTATCTGAACGCGAAAAGCGTAAAATTTTGCAAATTGCTTCTAATTTCAAGGGAACTGCAAGGCAAATCGCCGCAGAAGCTGATGTCCACACAAATTTGAGAAACGTGCGTCGTATTCTACAGAAGAGCAAGCACCTGAAACGCAAGAAGTTGAAACAACGGCCTCCTTTAACCGAACAGCACAAAGTAGGAAGATTGGAGTTCGGTCGTCAACATGTTCACTGGATGAAGAATTGGAAAAAAGTCATCTTCAGTGATGAAAAAAAGTTTAATTTGGACGGGCTTGATGGGTGGAACTTTTATTTCCATAATTTGCGGAAAAATGAAGAATATTTAAGTCGTCGCCAAATGGGCGGCGGAAGTGTTATGGTTTGGGACGGTATTGGTTACCACGCAAAAACACAAATAAATTTCATACCAGGCCGTATGAATAGCGAAAAATATATTAAATTGATAGACGAACAATTAAATAAGTATGCAGGTCATATTGCAAACCAAGATTATATTTTTCAGCAAGACAATGCTGCTATTCATACCGCAAAAGCTGTTCAGAGATTTTTTATTTCAAAGAAAATTCAAATTTTAAAATGACCTGCCCGTTCACCCGACCTGAACATCATAGAAAATATTTGGGGAGATTTATCCAGAAGTGTTTATGCAGGTGGCAAGCAGTTCAACAATATTAATAAACTGAAAAAAAGTATTGTTCATAATTGGAACGCGCTACCACAAAAACGTATTAAAAAATTGTATAAGACACTGCGGAATCGGTTGTTAGATGTGATACAATTGAAAGGAGGTTTCACCAAATATTAATATAATAGAATTTGCCATTTAGAGAGAAATTTTCACAGCAGAAATGCTAATCATGAATTGATGTCTTATAATTTTGTCCAACCATAAGTCGCCTATGTTCACGTTTTTTTTCCTCACTTTTATATTATATTGTCGGCGAAGTTGAAATTTTGTTTACTCATCCAAGAGATGACAAGTAATAAAAATAGCATATGAAATGTACAGTTTCTTGTTTTGAATATATGATATATAGATATATACCAAGTGTCTTATAATTTTGTCCAGCAGTGTAATTAGGGCCCATCATGATGATATGGCTCATTGCGGTCTAACTAAAACATTCGAGGGCGTTAATCAAAATTATTGGTTTCCGTCAATGCGTAAAAAGATTAACGAGTATGTTACAAACTGCGTTACCTGTATGATGGCAAACGATGCCGTCAATTGTTTTGAAGGGGAGACATCTCTCTACCCCTCGTCGTCGATTCCGTTGGAAGCCCTCCATGTGGATCACTTCGGGCCGCTGGAAGGAACGATAGATCACTTTAAGCATATTTTCGTGGTTGTAAATGCGTTTACGCGCTTCACGTGGTTATGCCCGACGAAATCAACCACGACGCGCGAAGTGATAGAAAATTTAAAGAACATTTTTTGTTTATTCGGTAAGCCGACAGAATTGATTTCGGACCGCGGAACCGCGTTCACGTCAAGAGAATTCGCGGAATTCATTGAAAAATTTAAAATTAAACACCGCAAAGTTGCAGTGGCTGCGCCTTGGGCGAACGGGAGAGTTGAACGCGTGAATCGCTTCATAAAATCCTCGTTAATGAAATTAATTGATACAGCGTCGCAATGGAAAGACGCTATCGGTCTGTTACAGTACATTATAAATAATACGTATACCATACGGCAACGAAGTCAAGCCCGTCAAAATTATTGCTCGGATATGAGCAACGCAGCCACGCAGACTTTCCGTTTGCACGTCTCACTCGGGTTCTCGCCGGCATTGATACGGACCTGGATCTCGAGCGAAACGCCGCACGTACTACGGCGCACGAAGCGTCAGAGCTGATATAATAAAAAATACAGAAATGTTAGATTTAGAAAACCTTAGGTGTATGAAGAAGGCGATTTAATATTAATCAGGAATACAAGGGCGAAGCCCGGCGAAAACGCCAAATTAAAGTCTAAATTTATCGGCCCGTATATTGTGGGCAAAAGTTTGGGTAATAACCGATATGTAATTAAGGATATACCTGGTTTTAATCATAAGATGAAACCACTGAACACGATCATGTCGAGCGAACGGATGAAACCCTGGGCCAAACATGTGCCCGCCGCAGATGATCCTGAAATAAAATCAGGCAATCAGCATTAGTTAGAGTTTAAGTTGCGATAAAATAAGTTACGATAGAATAAGTTGCGATAGAATAAGTGGCGGTAGAATAAGAATTTATAAAGAAAGTGTAGTGGTGCCACTAGACATAACGAGTGACAAGCATAAAGAGATTAGGCGATTTTATTATTGTTGTATTATAAATTTTATAAAATACTTTAACTTTTATTACTCTGAGGCTCTGCATACAGTAGACAAAATATTAGAAATAGCAATAAACATTTAATATTAAAAAGAGAAATTATTTTACATCTAACAAGAGAATAAAATATATTAATTAGTTCCAATTCTTATTTCTTAATTTATGCATTAATTTTTTCTATTCTTTTTATTTTTAAAATAAATAATTCCAATTTCTTATTTCTAATATTTAATAATTATTTCTATTTCTATTTCCTATTTTGTTTATTGTGCGCAGGATCTGACTTTCA